TAATGTTTCAATGAATGAGTGAACAGATCGTTCTCACCTCCTGTGATTGACACGTATTTCACTTAGTTACGTTAAAGTGTGAAAACGAAACACAAAGAGGACAAAAGACCACTAAAACACAGATTTCAGGTAAAACAGCTGTTTTTAATGTAACAATAATCAAACACGCGGCAAAGATACCGGCCTGAAAACAATAGGCCGTCCGGTTTTCACGCCAAACGCCGTCCGGTTTCCATAGTAGCCAGTGTCCGGTCTGTAGAGGACTTTTAACACAGGCCGCCTATTGAAATGGGAAGGGACTGAGAATATCGTCCGGAATGGACAGTGATCCGGTTTTCTCAGGGTCCGGTTTTCTCAGGTTTTACTGTATATATATATATATATTATATATATATATGTATATGTATGTATATCTGTGTGTGTGTGTATGTGTGTGTGTGTTTGTATATGTGTATGTGTATTTGTATGTGAGTGTGTGTGTATGTGTGTGTGTGTGTGTGTGTATGTGTGTGTGTGTGTGTGTGTGTGCACATATACATATATACACAAAGCCTGTCTTTCATAAATCTGCTAAACATATTCTACAGTTTAGTCACATCACCAATATGGCGATAAAGTTTTGTTCCCGCAGACCAAATGTCATCGTGATTAGAAATGCTCTGAAGATAAGCATCCAAGGGCGCGCCGGTGCACTTTTTGTGTCCAATTGGGTAGGGAAGTTTAGAGGAATTAAATCAAAGGTTGTTTTAATCGTTAGGAAACACCCCCCGCATACTCAAGCACACGCGCACCCACATGCACACACACACACACACACACACACACACACACACACACACACACACACAAAGACACATACACACACACACGAGGCACATACGTGCGAGTGTATTCACACATATACAACCACCTCGCGTATTCATAAGATGTCTTTTAAGTCTATTATAATTACGCATAATGTTAGATGGTAAACGCTTCATTCTGAATATACACAAGATATGTGCATATCTTGAAGTTAAGATTCGTTGACCTTTTACACATTCAGCATTTATAACTTCTGAAAGTAGTTATCTACATGCTACATGTCACGTGCGTTATGACTGCATAAGAGCCTTAACGCGTCTGTGCTTTACTACGGCTATCTATGCCTTTATTAAGTTGACATCTTATCGGACTAAACTTGTGTCTGTCGGTTGGTATATGCCTATATATTTCAAATGATCTTGAGGTCTCTAAAAATCTAACGCCTTATCTGTGTCTACTGCACTTTTATCTACACTGTTCAAATTACGGCTTATCTATTTACACATACACCCACCCTTATATATATATATATGTATATATATATGTATATATATATATATATATATATATATATATATATATATTATTTATCTATTTTTCTTTCTTTCTTTTTACATGTGTATGTGTGTGTGTAGCCACACTCGCCGAAGTCTTTCGAGAGTTCTGCATCCACAGAAGCGAAATAATGATTTGTCTCCATTTCAGTCAATGCTTCTAATGGAGACAATCTAACTGGACCCTCCCTCTCTCTCTCTCATTTCCGGTCCGGTGTGCGTAGCGTAGCCTTTTATGAGTTCACGGTATCCTTTCTGGAGCCTCTTGCTCAGATATGCCTAGGGTATGCCCACCTGCTTTAAAAAGGACTTTCTTCATGGTTTCATGCATTTCTTTCAAGAATCCGTAGGAAACATGCGCGTATTTCGTAAGTAAAAATAGATATGACAATAGCTTTCAAGATGCGTTTATAACTGAGCTCTGAAACAAGACTTGGCCTCGCCTGTCTATTTGGTGACTTTGCTGTTTACATGGTTATTTGGCCGATGGTGCCTACTTGGCGACCTCATCGTATGGTCAGTTAAATTTATTAGGAGGCCTTGGATTCTAAAAGAAATCCTGATAAGGTTTTAAACAGTTTTGCTCTGTGTTTATTCAGTCAAACAATCGTTTTTGGTTATCAGTTACACAAGGTATATATATATATATATAAATATATATATACATATATATATATATATAGAGAGAGAGAGAGAGAGAGAGAGACAGACAGACAGACAGACAGAGACAGACAGAGACAGACAGACAGAGACGGACAGAGACAAAAAGAGACAGACAGACAGACAGAGACGGACAGAGACAAAAAGAGACAGAGAGACAGAGAGAGACGGTGAGAGAGACAGAAAAACAGAGAAAAGAGATAAGGTGAAAATATAGCTAGCTACTTAGATAAACTGAGAATGTAGGGAGATAGACACACAGAGAGAGTAGACAGAAAGTCCGCGAGACAGAGAGACAAGCAGGCAGTCAGATAAGCAGACAACCAGACAGACAGAGAGAGAAGGTGGACGTAGAGACAGAGAGAGGGAGAGACGTGGTGGAGTGTGTTTACCAAGGGGGTTCTCTTTACCTTCGCTGATTGTGCATTCTCGCCATGACTTGCACTTTGTCCTGCGTGTGTTTCGTAATTTTCTGGAGAATATTACGTCACCTTCACAGCTGTATAATTCGTTATCACTCTTCTGTGTCGACTGTAAGTCGTTACAGATTTGACATGCAAATGAGTTTTTTTTTAAACAGTTTCTGGCAGGTCTGTTGCTTCTCCTTCCATGCCTTTCAACTTTGTTTCGCTCTCTAAATATGCACACACACACACACACACACACACATACATAACATAACAAACCGTATTACATTTCCATATAAGTACTATATAGTAGATTATCAGTATTATCTCTGATATTATTGATAAAATTACCACGCTGCGTGACACTCTCGAGGTGCCACCTACCATATATTCACGACCCATTTTTATACAACAAAAAAATGGGCCTTAGTTTAGGTTGTGACGTGAGAGAAGAAGGAATCAAACGCTGTTCTCCTGAGGTCGCCAAGAACCGCCATGGAATCAGTCCGATGTTCACTGAGCTTCAATTGGCTCTCGCTCAAGTTCTTCACGAAAGGATGGGGCTTCTTTCTGGGGGAAGAAGCTTGGCGTTTGGCCTTCCTTTGTGGCTTGAGTGAGTTGGAGAATTTTCGTTTTACAGTGAAAAGAACGTTATATTTATGTAATATGCTATTTTTTGGCAATTTTTATTTACCGTATTCATATATATATATATATATATATATATATATATATATATATATATATATATATATATATATGTATATATATATATATATATATATATATATATATATATATATATATGTGTGTGTGTGTGTGTGTGTGTGTGTGTGTATGTGTGCATGTATATTTGTATGTATATAATAAAGAAAACGCTGCAACAATAGAGACACAGTAAAGGCGATGTTTCGAACTCAAGCTATGGTTTCCTAGAAAAGCGGTGCCGCTATATTACGTCCGTAACATTACGTTGTGCGGCGAACGTAACGTAACGGCCGCTCAAGGGTGTAAAGTTAGAACTGTGTTGTGATTGCATTACGTTGAGATCAAGCGGAAAGAGAACACACGCAGTATGGACGATCTAGACACGGCATTATTAATATATCTGGAAGATGAGTCGTCCGAAGACGAACGCTTGGAAGAAAGTCAATTATTAACAAAATCTATTATTAATTATTAATTATTATTAATTATTAACAAAATAATATTAATTATTAAATATTAAATATAAATTAAATATTAATTAAATATTAATTAAATATTAATTAAATATTATAAATTAAAAATAAATATTATAAATTAAATATTAATTATTATTAATTATTAACAAAATCTATTATTAATTATTAACAAAATCTATTAATATTTCATCTTCCTCGCCGTTCCACATTGTTATGTCTGAAACAGATTCCAATTTCAATACCGTAATGTCACACCGTCAACGTAATAAACCGTCGGCGGAGAGTATGCTACCGCTATGACGGCCGTCACAACACTGGCGCCACCGCTATCTTACGTTCACCGCTCTCTAGGAAACCAATGCCGGGGAAAATAATGTAACAGTTTTTGCGACGTCATCCAACGTAATGTTACGGACGTAATATAGCGGCACCGCTTTTCTAGGAAACCATAGCTTCAGAGTTCGCCGGCAGACGACGAAGTTCGAAACATTACGTTTTAACGCTATGTATATATATCTATATATATGTGTGTGTGTGTGTGTGTGTGTGTGTGTGTGTGTGAATGTAAGTGTGTGTGTGTGTGTGTGTGTGTGTGTGTGTGTGTGTGTGTGTGTATGTATGTATGTATATATATATATATATATATATATATATATATATATATATATATATATATACTATTTATATGCGGGATGCTTCATGCTCAGGATGCTATGCAGTGATGGTGTGGTAGCCCAAAGAGTGTTAATTGGGTAGCCATATCAGTTTCCAGCAGACTTTAGCCTTCGGTAGTAGTGGTTATTCTTGGCACTGCGATAGGAGCAGGCATTTGGTTTCATGTCTTTTCTTGCTATGCACTCTCCTGCCAAGCTCACATCTGTGGCAGTCAGCTCTCCTTAAAGTGATGTTCGCATTAGTGTGGGTAACTTCAGTGAGGTATCCGGCTGTGAGAAGTCCATTGGTGACTAACCAAGAGCAACGCAGAATTTTGTTTCACATGTCTGGCTGAGAACTTGAGCAGCTGCATCAGGTTGATCCAACAACAAGTGGTTTTGGAATCTTGGTGTTAGATCCACCCATTGGCAAGGAACCTCCTGGCCTAAATGAAGTTAGACTGGCGATCTCAGAGCTGAGGAGTGATAAAGCAGCATGAATTTGCGGCATCCCTGCCGAATATTTAATGACTGGTGATGGACATATCGCGTGGGGTTTGCATGCTTTCCTGGCTGCCATCTGGTAGTCCATAACCATCGTCATCCCTCTCTGAAATGGGAAAGGGGTTCGACAGGACTGTATCAATTACTGATGCATCCGAGACTGATTAATCTGGATTCACCCCTGAGAAATCGGCAACAGATGCCATGAACTCTCTCTACAAAGAGTATTTGGGGATGTCGGTATCTGTGCAGGGCCAAGCTGTGTCTTCAAGGCCCTGATACTGATAGTTTGGCTCTACAGAAGTGAAACTTGGTTGTCATCCCATGTCTTGTAGTCTCTCGTCTTGACGCACTGTGCTAGATCATGAGGTACATCTGACAGGATCATGTGTCTAACCAACAGCTATTGTGGGAGCCACATAGAGTGTTACTAACACAATCCGAGGTCGTTAACACAGGCTATACGGACACCTGTTTTGCTTCACAGAGGAGGATCTTGCCCACCAGGTTACCTCCTCCCATGCCAGCCCAGGGTGAAGGAGGCCCGTGAGACGACCTAGGAGGTCATGGCTAAAGGAGATAAGGATTTAACCACTCACCCCGGTTTGTGTAGTGTCCACTATTTTTGTGAATTATGTTCCACGCAAATGACTCTACAAGGGCTCAACCACCCAAAAGTGATTCGTTTTTTTCCATTCCTTTTCTTTGCAAGATTTTTTCCTAGTACTATTGATATTGATAATGTTATTTTCATTACAGACATTTAGATTATTATAACGTTATCAAAATGTTATTACGAAGTCAACAAGTTATCAAGTTTTAGTAATGATACTGCACATACTACAAACTACACTAGAACCTGATAGTTAGGGTTAGGGATGTCTCCGTTCTGCTCCTCCCTTCAGCTGGTCCGAAATGATTAAGCCGTCAGTTGAGTGCCAGCCATCTCTCAATTCTGTATTATTATTACTGTTCTTTTGCTGTTGTTAATAATGTTCTTATCATTAATAGTAGTAGTAGAAGTATTACAGTTACTAACACTGTTATCATTATCATTATAATATTGCTATTATTATCATTATCATCTTTATTATCATTATCATCTTTATCATTATTATTAACATCTTCATTGTTATCATCATTGATATTATTATTATTATTATCATAATTACCATCATTGTTATCACTATCATATTCATACTCATTACCATTACTATTAGTATCATTAATAATTGGCATAATGACCACCATTATCAATATCCCCATCATGAACATAACTAACAATATTTCTGCTGTTACTCTCACCCTCGCATCATGATAAGCCCCTCCCTCTCCTCTCTCTGCAGTGGCTGTCGTCGACTGCTTCCGCGGAAACAGCCTGGCGTGCACGGCAGTCCACGCGTGCTTGATCGTCCTCGTCCGCAGGATCCTGGCCGGCGGGATCTGCACCTCCGCGCGACGCCTGGACGGCAAGACGGTCGTCATCACCGGCTGCAGCGTGGGCATCGGGAGGGAGACCGCTCGGGACCTTAGTAGCCGAGGTGGGCGTGGGTGTGGGCGTGGGCGCTTGGTCTGATTTGGGTCAATTATGATAATTATTATTCCTATTATTCTTGATATTGTTATTGTTTTTACATTTACAATAATTATTATTCCTATTTTTATTATTATTATTGTTATTATTATTTTATTGTTGTTATTGTTTTATTATTATTGTTGTTGTTGCTCTTTTGTTATTATTATGGCGAGAAGTCGATGTCTGTAGGCCTATAAAGTAGAAGATAAGGAAGAAAAAGGAAAGAGAAAAGGAAGAGAGGTACAAATACTTCCATTCTCACAGACACCATAAATGATTAGCTAATCCGCAACCTGGACCAACCCACAGGCGCCAAGATCATCATGGCTTGCCGCGACACCAAGGCAGCAGAGAAAGTAGCCAAGGAAATCGGCAGGCAGACTGGCGGGGAGCTGGCGGTGATGAAGCTGGACCTTGCCTCCCTGGCCTCCGTGCGCGCCTTTGCCGAGGAACTCAAGGCCAGAGTGAGGCGTGTTCACATCCTCATCAATAATGCAGGTGTGGGGATATTCTCGTATTTAATTCTACAGTTTTAGAAGTTATTAATGAGAGTTTTGGCTGTGTTGTATATCCTTACTGAGATAAGATCGTGTAGAATTAGTCTGCGCAGAACCTGCATATCTAGATTTTTTATATAATGCATTCACAGTAGCAAGCATACACTAAAAAGACAAAAAAATGGAACTTGTACTTAGTGATGAGCAAAAATTTCACATCCTGTCGTATGAAAATTCTTCCATAGGAA